TTTGTCAGAAATATTTTTGGAAAAAAATTTTGGTCGGATTTTTTATTTTTTTAATTGTTATTTTCCTAGGCACGATAGAAATTTTAAATTTTGCATGCAAAATTTTGAGAACCTAAGCTACAAAATGATATAAGTTACTTGTGTTTTTATTGTGTACGTTTTTGTGCAATTTTTGTTTAAAAATGCGCCTGAGTTTTGTCTAGTGAGTGTAAGTAATAGTAGTGTTTAATGTTTCTAAGATATCTTTATGTTAATGTTTATGATAATTTATTCATATTTTTTAGTTTCAAACACCAGAGTATTGCAAGTGTAGATAGAAGAGGAGATGGAAAAATGGGGAGGTGACCTGATATTATGTTCATCACTGTGGAGGATGATAAATTTTATGAACTAATGTATGCAGAGTGTTCTCAAATTGTTTCTACTAAACACAAAGAAGAGAATGATTTATGGTGTGAGGTTAATGATGGAATGTACTTGGTACATAAAAGTTGCAGATTGGTAAAGGAACAATTTGGCATCATAGGAATACAGGTAACAGGATGTACATTAAGGTTGAATGTACTTATTAGAGATGAGGTTGAAGTGCATCGGTATTATAAATTGCAAGAACCAAAGATTCCTATTCAATATTCTAATGATCCTTCCATTTTAGCAGAACTTATAAGCACTTTACTAATTTTTCGAAATATACTATCAACATGTCATTATTACACAGTTCTATTTTGCAAAGATCAAGTAGAAATTTAGGTAGTTCAACTGTATCAAGTGACAAAGAATAAAAATGTATTTACTTTATATTTCCTGTTTTAATAAAACTAAGCACTGGTGGCTGATTTCATATATATAATTGTGTTTATTTTTGCATATGTGTTTCCTAAGTGTGTATTCCAGGATTTTATTTTAATGTATATTAATATATATCAATGTCTACATATGATCAAGAATTTTAAAAATTTCTTGGCATTGGCATGAAGAATCATGATTTTTTATCCACTAATGTTTTTCCATATGATTAATTGAATATTAATATATTAATTATGACAAGAAATCCGCTGTGGCAAAATTGATGATCAGCAAAATAATTTTTAATATATGGTTGGCTCGGTCTAAAGACCTCCTATTTCTGCGCCACGTGGCCAAATTTCAAAAATAGCAATTTTGTAATTTGTTCAAAAATGCAATAAAAATTTTCGAAAATAGGACTTCACGTGATTTTGGGTTTAAAAATTTATTTCATACTGCCAAATTTAGATATGATGGTCATGTATTAGTCTAAATTTAGAAATGATTTTTGTAGTTTGGTCTAAATTTAGTAATGATCCTAGTGGCCAAATTTCTTGTGAACATAGTAAAGTACATGTTCTAAAAAAGAATAGAACTCTACAACAAATGATTTTTTTGGGAATATCTCATTATTACATTAAAACTAAAGACCTATTCTATCAACTAATAATGTTATTTTTTTAAAAGATAGGATAGAAAGTGACTTCTATACTTTTAAAATTTGTGCAAAACTTAGGAGGTCTTTAGACTGAGCCAACTATACAGTGTGTGTCACAATAAATCATCCATAAAACATTGGTTTACTTTAAATGTCAATAACTTTTAATTTTATGTAATAATAAAAATTTTAACACATGAGTTGAAAGAAATAATCAAAAGCTAACTCTTAGCATTGAGTTTTTTTAAATTGGTTTATTTTTGGGGGAGTAATAAGGAATTAAAATTAATTATATTTATTAAATTTGGCCACAAAATTTTGGCCATGATTATGACTTAACCTGGGCCAAAGGATCGGAAACTTTTAAATTTTGCCGGCATTAATTTTTTTGGTTTCACGAAAGTTAATACGCGACACATTTATACTCCTTGCAAATTAACAAATAATTATAAAGATTTTTAATTATAAATTTATCCCAATAAAACATGGGTAGAGTATCTAATAAAAATCAGCATCTTAAAAAAATAGCACAATCATCTGTCAATTAAATCAAATTCGTAAATTTGCAAGAAAATCCATGCAGTACATGGATTGTTATAGAAAAGGTCTAAATTGCAAACAAGCTGAATATGCTGTCAAAAAATATAAATCACATTGCAGCATCCCTAATGTAATACTCTCAGACTTGGAAATATTAAATTGATTTTAATAAATTTAATGTTCTATTTTTGGTATGATCTGCAATAAAAAATTTGGCCATCTTATAGTTGGAGTCAGGGTTGGCAAATGTGCAGTCCATTGAGTCCATTAGTGTAACACTTTGATCATATTTAGTATTTTATTAATTGCAATGGACCGGTCCAAAATCCATCTTTCTCAATGGACCAGTCAATTTGCCAACCCTGGTTGGAGTTGATGATTTATTGTGACACACTGTATAATAATAATCTAAAATACAGAAATAAATGAATACACGCGGAAATTAAAATTATTTGTTGTAATATTTGGTTGTTAGTTTTTACATTTTTCTTTTCAATGATTTAAATGCTTTAAATTCTTTATAATCTAATTGACTTTATTATCAATTGATTGATTTTAGAAACTTGGAAAATTTTGTTACTTGCACACATTTGGATAAATAATCTATCAATTGTTGGATTATTATTAATATATTTTTAGTATTTTGTTACTCGCAAAAATTTGGACAAATGATTTTTTGATTTATTTTAGAAACTTGGAAAAGGTTGTTACTCGCAAACATTTGGACAAATAACCTATCAATTGTTTGTTTATTGGTTTATTTTATAAACTTGGAAAAAGTTGTTACTCGCAAACATTTGGACAAATAATCTATCAATTGTTTGTATTGGTTATTTTAGAAAATTTGTTACATCATTGGATAAAATTGTTTGTCTCATTGCTTTATTTTAATACTGATCTTTGATTAAAAATAATCTATTTGATTATAATTTTATTTTATCAATTTTGGTAATTTGAACAATTTCATAATTTATATATATGTCACGTGAATCCGCTGTGATAGTAGTCATATTAATATAGAAAGACCTCATCAAAAATCCATTATGACGTTAATTAATAAAATAAAAAATAAAAAAAGAGGCCGATATTTAAATCCGTTGTAGCTGTGGCGAGGTCCGCTGTGACAAGATTTGACTGTATTAGTATTAATATTAATATAGTTGTAGTTGGTTAGTTTCAACTAATTCCGTTAGTTACACACTATTTGGCTATGATGAGTTAATATTAATCCGAAATAGTCACATTCGGTAAATTTCAAATTCAGTGTCAAATGAATTTGTGACTTGTGCTTTGCAAATATTATTTGGAAAAAATATTTAAAAAAAGTAACTATTATTTTATCTGATGTTTTAAAGGTGAGTTTTTATAAAGGACTTATATAATATAAAGATTAAACTAAATCATCATTAGTAAATCATTTTCCTCCATATCTATATTTTTTTAAAAGAAAACACGATCTAATTTTATATAATTTTATAATTTTATAGATCAATAATTTTATATATTTATATTTATTTATTTTATGTGTAATTTTTAGGATGTTCGGTAAAAAAAAGAAACCAAGGCAACCATTAGAGCCAACTAATTCTACTCCTTCACATAGTCAGCTTAGACCTGCAATAAATTCACCAACCTACTCACAATATCCTCCTCAACAAAATTATCCACAGTATCCTCCTCAAAGAACTCAATCTCCCGAAGCACCTCAAAATCATCAGGATAATTCAATAATTCGCCAGCATAAAAGAAATCAATCTTCTTCTGACTACAGTTGTTCTAATACAACCTCCTTTTCCGATAGTGCAAGTTCTACACGGTATAGTTCTGAATCATCTTTCAGATCATCTGGTGCTTTCTCTCCAAGTGAAATACAGGCATGGGCTGGAAATTATTATAAAGACGCCTTCTCAAAACAAGATTCTTCACGACCTCCTGATGAAGAAGTCGAAGAGTTATTCTTTGAGTTATTGGTGTTTATTAAATAATAATATTAAGACTTAATCAGCTCTTTATTTGTACATGTGTTTACTTATTAATATCGAGTTTTTTATTCTTACTAGAATAAAAGGGATTTAAAAAACCTTCCAGAATCTCAAAGAAAACAAATGTTGGCAATTCCAACTGATAAAAAATGGGTTTTGATAAAAAATGATAAGTTGCAAGAAGGAGTAAGTTTTATAATCTTTATTATTATTTATTAATTTACTAAGTGGTTGAAGATTTTATACATTAATTTTTATTTTCTAATGAATAGGCAAATAAGATATCCAGTGGAAGTGCTTCTTCTCTTTCTCATGATAAAAACGCTCCCGAATATTATCTTAAAAAAATAATGGATGGTACAATAACTGTCAAAATAATGAATTCTTTGAGTGTCTCCTTAAGAACTTTACCAATTACGTTAGTATTACTCGACATTTAAGAAAAAATTTTTCGGCCGTTTTTATAATTTGGTTTTGATTATCATTAAATCACCAAATTTATTGATTTTATGTATGCTGTTGTTATATTTTTTATAGTTGGGTCAGATCATTCATTGATGCGAAAGGGTTGGAAGTACTTACAAATTATTTAAATAGTATTACAAGAAAACCTGTAAAGTATGTTTATAGTTAAACTGGCTAATTCATTAAATTGTTTATCTTTATAACAATTAATAAAACAATTTTATTCTCTTAGGAGAGAAGTTGATCTTTTAATGGAATATGAGATTATCAAATGTTTAAAGTTATTATTAAATAACAGAGTAGGTTTTTTACTCACATAATAATAATAATAATAATAAATATTTTTATTAAAATTTATTTATTTATTTGTTTAGTGGGGAGCTCAAGAAGCCTTATCTCATCCAACTTGTATCCATAGTATCACATTTTCATTAGTTTCATCTCAACTTAATACTCGTAGACTTGTTGCAGAAGTTCTTTCTTTCTTTTGTTATTGTGAAATCCCGACTGGCCATAATTTGGTATTAGGAGGATTCGATCAATTGATGCAATTTCAAAATGAACATTATAGATTTGATGCCTGGATGAGAATTTTAGAAAATACTATTGATGGTCGTGGTAAATTAGGAAGTTTGGTTAATGCTAGTGATGAATATAAAAAAGGTGGAATCGGTGTCGATAACTCTTTAATGGAATATTCGGTAATTTTTATCAAAATATAATAGTAACAATTCTTTTTGATTCCTTCTCCATTAGCTCATTAGATATTTCATAATAAGTTCTCAAAATATATTCTCTTACTGTTTTTTTTGGTTGTTTTTAGTTATCAAATTTGATATTGGTAAATTCAATAATTGGTGTGTGTGATGATGTTGAAGTTCGTTTGGTTTTAAGAAATCAATTACATGCTTGTGGTTTAACACGTATCATTGATGTAAGATTTAAATATTTTATATATTATATATATGCACTTATTCTTGAAATTTCCAAAAATAATATGTTATTTGGTTTTTTTTTAGAAAATGAAATCATTTAACCATGAATTGATTAATAGGCAAATAACCAAATTTGAAAATGAAAGTGAATTGGATTATGAAGAATATGTAGATAATCATAATCGCCAGATTTTACAAGATATGACATATCCTTTTTTTTCTGAAAAAACACCATAAAAATCATATTATTGTATCAAGATCTGCCTTAACTCTTTATATTATTACTGATCCTCATGATGTATTCCAATGTATTCTTGCTTCTGTGGAAGGAACACGTGCTTACGATTATTTTCTGTCAGCTTTACAACATATTTTACTCATTCGCGACGATGGTGAATCAAGGTATGTGTATTTTAAAAATTAAATTATATTTATGACGAATAAAAACAATCAAGTAATGCAGTGTTTGCATTTTAAAATAGGACAAGATATTTTCAATTTATTGATACTTTGATTACCCAGATTGTTTTGGATAGACGAGGACTTGATCAGGATTGGGGCCATAATGTTAGTATAACAGTTTCCCAAATGCTCAGTAAATTGACTGACCAGGATAAACTTCAAACTGCTTTGGAAGAAGCAAAAGAAGCAAAATCAGTTGCAGAAAAGGCATTACGCGAAAAGCAAGAGTTACAAAGTGAATATAATAGTCAAGGAGGTAAATCCTATATTTATTTATTTATATAGAATTTTCATTTTTAAATTATTAATATTTACGTTTTTAAATAATAAATATATATAGATGGAACTGTCGTAAAACTTAAAAATAAAATTGATTCGCTTGAAGAACTTCTAAGAATATCTCGTCATACTATTCAAACTCTTCAAACAAAACTTGCTGACCTTGAATCTAGTTATATTGAAAAGCTTTCCGAGCAAAAGGTTCAGTTACGCGAATTTGAAAATATGTTAAAAGAGCAGCAAAGAAACGAGGCTGATCCAGATGCATTAAACCGACAAGAAATGATTAAAAAATTAGAAAGGATGCAAGAAATAGCAAAGACAGAAGCAAAGTTGGAAGGTCAAAAAGTATGGACACCTCCACTCTTTGGTGAAACCAGGGTAAATTTTATTATGAAATTAAATGCCCTATATCTTTTTTTTTAAATTTTTGCTAAGCTCATTTATTTTTGTAATTATTAAAAAATAAATGTATGCATATTTTTTATTTAGATGCCTGATGCAAATAATTATCATTATAACGTTGAGCCTTTTTATTCAGGAGGCTCTTATCAAATGCCAAGTACCAGTACGGATACCATCCTCGGTTCACATGATTCACAGAGTTCTAATTATGATGCACAACCTTTTAAATCTAGTAGTCCAACCCAAACTTCAACTCCCAATCAATATGGATATTCTCAACAACAACAAAATTTACAATTTTCTCAAATCAATAATTCTAATAATATTTCACCAGGAGGCTTCAAAATACCAGACTCATCTCCTATACAAATGCACAACAATTTTATAAAAGAACTCGAGGAATTGTATCAGAACAAACAAGGATCAGAAATAATTCAAACTAGTGTAGATGACAACAAAGTTGGCTTTAAACAAAACACAATGGATAATTTGAATAATGGAACCCTTGAAAATCAATCAGTGTTATTTAGTAAAAGCGAGAAGACATCAAGTCAACCACTACCAACAGTTGATAATAAACATGATATACAATATCGATTATCTCAATCTTCAAAAACATCTAGTTCAATTCCACAATCACCTATAAAAACATCAATAATAACAGACGATTTTCTTTCTTCATCATCAACAAACTCTTCTCCTCCTTTACCAAGCAAAGTAACGTCATCATCATTACCGCAAGCTTCTTTAGAGCCAAATGATACAATATCACAATCTCCACCTCCATCACTTCCTCTTTCTCCTGGAAAAGAAGTTGGGGGACCTCCACCACCACCGCCACCACCACCTCCAATAAAAGGAATGGATGTTACACATTCACCATCATCACCACCACCACCTCCACCACCACCTCCACCACCACCACCTCCTTCTACAAATAAAGGAACAGGTGGTCCGCCGCCGCCGCCGCCACCACCACCACCACCACCTCCTCCTCCTCCGAATAAAGGAATAGGTGGTCCACCACCTCCACCGCCACCACCACCTCCTCCGAATAAAGGAATAGGTGGTCCACCACCACCACCACCACCACCTCCGAATAAAGGAATAGGCGGTCCACCACCTCCTCCAATTGCAGCACCATTTCATAATATTGCTTCATCAAGTATGTTATTTTTTTGAAATTTATTATTAAATAACATCTGTAAAAAAATTTTAATCAATTTTAAATTTTATTCCGATTTTCTAGAAGGCAATCTGTTACCGATAGCACCCAAAAAGAAACTTAAACAATTACAGTGGGACAAAATTAATCAAATGACTGTTAAACAAACATTTTGGGGGCAAACAAATATGAGTTATGATGAACTTCTCAGATTACTTCGTGAAGAAGGAGAAGTTTTTAATACTATCGAAGAATTATTTGCGGCAAAAGAAATAATAATTAAAAGTAATTATTAAATTTTTTTACGATTTAAAATCGAATCTTTCAATAAATACTTAAATATTTTATGCTATTAGAAGCTATCAAAGAAAAGAGAGAAGAAATTAGAATTATTGATACCAAAAAGGCATTAAATCTTAGTATGTATTATATTTTTGTTCCGCAACATGAAAAACTTTATAATTTATCATTTAATTTGATTTTTACTTTCGTTTAGACGTTATAATCGGAAGATATAAGAACATGACATTTGAAGAAATCCATGAAAAAATAATTGAAATGGATAAATCATTCTGCTCGGAAAATTTACTTGGTCAATTATTACTATTTATACCTACCCCAGATGAGGTTTGGTTCTTCAATTTTATTTACATAAATAAAAATATTGCCTTTTTTTGAGATTTTAATCGATTAATTATCATTTAAGCGGGGTAAATTATCCGTTTATAAAGATGCCGGCGAGGAGATTCTTGAGAATTTAGCACGTCCAGATAGGTTTTTCGTTGAGGTATGTATTTTTATGAAAAATTTTAAATGGATTTGGCTTGTTTATAAATTGAAGTTTTAAAACGAAAAAATTATCAATAAAAAATTCTTAAAACAGGCAATGAAAATATATAGATATGAACAACGTTTGAAATTTATGTACTTTTATGTTACTTTTGATGAAAAATTTAATTATCTTCATGATGTAAGAGTAAAGTTTATTATTATTATTATTATAATCAATCGGTTTCTTTATATTGATAATATATTTAAGCTAAATAAATATCCGCATAATTGTTTATTATAGAGCATTGTTCATATTTTAGAGGCTTCAATACAACTTAAGGAATCTAAAAATTTCAAAGAACTGTTGAATGTAAGTTATCACAACTGCTAAAGTTTATTTTAGATATTACTGTTCTATTATTAGATTATTATATTAAATTAATACATTTTACAGCTAATTTTGTTACTTGGTAATTATATGAATTCATCTGGGCACAAAGGTGGTGCTTATGGTTTCAAAATTGCTAGCATTAATAAGGTAATAATAATATAATATATAGACATATATATTACTGCTTTAAGTTATTAATTTCAAACAAATACACTGATGAATATAATATACATACACGAATAAATGAAACCAGCTTGTAGATACTAAAGCTTCTACAAATTCATCACACACCTTGTTACATTTTCTTGCAAATACTATTGAAAACAAATTACCACATATAAATGAATTTATTGAAGAATTAAAAGATTCTGGATTGGCTTGCAGAGGTTTATGTCATTTTATTTCATCAATTTATATTATAAATATTCACTTTATTTTTAATTGTATTGTTTCTATTCAAATTAGTTTCACAGCAGGAGATGACTGGTGAATATAGGTTAATAGGAACAAAGTTAAATGATCTTGAAGTAGAGCTTGATAAGAATTTTACAGATGTAGAATTAGAAGAGAATGATAGATTCCCAGAAATAATGAGAGATTTTGTTAAAAGGACTAAAAGTCAATTTGAAGAGCTTCAACTTAAATATACTTCAATGGAAGTTGCATATAAAGATGTTGTATCATACTTTGGAGAAGATCCAAAAAGTACTAAGCCAGATGAATTTTTTGGAATTTTCAAAACATTTATATCATCTTATGAAGTTTGTAGCTATTAATTGCATTGATCTATTTTTTTTTAAAGAAAATAATAATAATTGATTTGTTTTATGTTATTATAATAGCGAGCAAGACATGACAATAAAGTACAGAAAGAACGTGAATTGGTCCTTCAAAAACGAATAGAGGTTTGTTCAATAAGCATTATGATTTATGAATATTTGAAGTGGAATATTTATTAAAACTTGTTAAAAAATAGGAGATTGAAAGTCGAAAAAAGAAACAAAAGGACAAAACAAGTATCAGTGTCAAAGAAGGCATTGCACAAGATTCTTCAGAAGAAAAATATCTTATGGACAATTTATTAGAGACATTGAGAGATGGGAGGGATTTGGATACAAGAACAAGGAGAAAACGTGGAGCAGGAAAAGAAAAAAGGATAGAAAGAAGTATGTCAATTGCAGTCAAAGCAGAATCTATTTTGAACAGGCTTAAAGAAGATGCTCCACCAGTACCAGATTTGCCTATAAAAGAAATTTTAGCTGAATAAACAATCTGGTTTTTTTTAATCCAAAAAAAATCAGGGGTATATTTTGATTAATTTATTTTTTGGGGTTTGTTTTTTTGTACAATAAATTATTTATTTGTATTATTTATAATTTACATTTATAATTACATTTATAATAATAATAGTAGAAATTTTTTATTTATTAACAATTATAATCTTCATTTTGTACTACGCGTATATGCTACAAACCGTTATACACTTACTTAATCATCACATGCATACTTTAATCACGTATTACAAGATAGTTTTAAAATAAAAAAATTTTGCAACCTGATCAACAGAGCATAATGGACATCCTATATTGGGGGGTCCAATATCATATGTGTTATGATATATATGAAGCCACATATTAATTTTTATTATTGAGGATTTTTTA